CATGCACTCACACACATGACCATAGGTATAAACACTCACACACACACACATACACACTCACACACACACATACACACTCATGCACTCACACACATGACCATAGGTATAAACACTCACACACACTCACTCACACACACAGCTCCCCCCAAATTAATGACTCAAAAACATTCTAGAGACTTAGGCATCTGACCCTCCAGTCAAGGTCAGTATATATACGTGCAATTTCCTGATATGAAATAATATTTAAAGGAACCATTGAAAGAAAAAAGTTGGAACACTCTTAAAGTAAATATCTCTTAAATATACTTTTGAAATGGAACAAGAAATTCTTTTCCTTAAAATTTAAGATTTTTTTTTATCTAACCCCATTACAACCCCACTGTAATCTACTAAATAATTACAAAAAAATAAAAAATCTACAAATAACAACAGCAACAACATAAAAAACACCCCACAAAGACCAACATTCATCAAACTTGGGCAGTTGTCTTAGAGTTCTAAAAAAATAAAAAGGTTAAAAAAATACATAATCTTAGCACTCAGGAGCCAAAGGCAAACAGGTCATAATTTTAGAAAAGACTTATTTCAAAACAAAATATGTGGCAGATAAATCTCTCAACACTCCACTGACAGAATTCTAATTTCTATTCAGGCAAAAAAGATAAGAAAGAAAGGAAGGAAGGAAGGAAGGAAGGAAGGAGGGAAGGAGGGAGGGAGGGAGGGAGAGAGAGAAAGAAAGAAAGAGAGGAAAAAAAATTCCTAAAAAATTTAGTATACAACTCCAGAGATTCTGACTCCCTAGAACCAATTTGTGAGTTCCCAACACTTCCCCTAAAGAAGTAAGGGGCCAATTTAAAAACAAAAAACAAAAAAACAAAAACCCTGGGTAAATGCATCTTGAATTACAGATCTAATATCACTAAGAACTCTAAGGCCTAACAATGAAAGGAGGAAGAAATATGCAGCAATGGAAACTTTCAAACTTCTAGACGAAGCAGGAGACTCCTGATTCCTCATGTCAGTTCCGGAGTTCACTGGCTGATGGAGTCACTGTTGAGTTCCTCCTCAGTACGCAGGTGATTTAACCACCCTGACTGAACAGTTGTTGGCAGAGTACGTCACAACTCATACTTACGTTCTGTTTTAACTCGGTGTGGACCCAATGTAGCCATTGCCTAAGAAAAAAGAGAGGGGGAGAGGAGAGAAATCTGAATTCAGACTGAAAATAGATTTTGCTATCTATAATATATACAGTGTTCTCAATTGGTTCAATAACAGAATAAACATTAGCTGTTCTCATTTTCTTCTGGTGCTGGGAGAAGAACCCAAGGCATCACACATGCTAGGCAAGCAGGTTAGACAAGCACACCAGAACTGAGAGGCATCCCCAGCCTCCAGACTAATGTCTAAAGTCATGGAGAACACCTTCCTCCATGGCCACTATTAACAGTTGAAATAAGTTCTCTAGGCAATGTATAAAAATAGGGGTTTTTTAAAATGTATTTTAAAGATATTTATTTTACGTACATGAATACACTGTCACTCTCTTCAGACATACCAGAAGAAGGTATCAGATTCCATTACAGATAGTTGTGAGCCACCTTGTGGTTGCTGGGAATCAAACTCAGAACTTCTGGAAGAGCAATGAGTGCTCTTAACCATTGAGCCATCTCTCTAGCCAAAAAATGGGAATCTTTAATAAAGAAAGCAAGCCTCAAACCTTGCTCCTGAGAAGGCCAAGAAAGGAGGTTTACAAGTTCAAAGACTATGGGGGCTACAAAGTGAGTTCTAGGGCAGTCTGAGCAAAATAAAAAATAAATAAAAATAAAAGGATGACAAGATACATAGCTCCATTCTTAAATGAGCATCAGAGTCATGCCCCGATAGTTATTAATAGAGTATAAAACACATAGGTTCTATGTATTCATTCAAAAAATATTTACTGGGTACCTTCTATACCAGAAACTGACAAAGCTCTGAACCCTAACACTCTAGGCAAACTAAACATATACTATTCCATACTCTTATATAAATTATTACATCACAAGAAAAAATACAAATTACTGACATGTCACTAATTCCTAAAATATTCTACAGCCCATGATAAGCAAAGTGTATTTACCACGATTATATTCTCATACACTGATGGACAAACTCTTAAAGGCAGACATAAAATGTACTTCTGCCGCACCACACACTCATCATACCTTCCTGATGGTCGTCCAGTCCTCAAGAATATCGAGATCCTGCAGCATATAAACTATATACGGACGTGGGGGCGTCAAGGTCAACTCGGCAGCAGCAACGGCACATACTCAGTGAACTCATGCAGGAAGACTATGGGTTCAAGGCCAGCCTGGGCTACATGCAAGGCCTTGTCTCAAAAGCACCTGTATAAACTGACCACACTGCGTCATGAACAGCTGTGTCCCCTCTGTGCACTGGACACAGCAGTTTTCAAAACTGAGCCCAGTATGAAAACCCAGAGAGCGTGGGAAAGGATATCTGAGACAACGACCGGCTTCTTTTTGTCGGGGCTGAAAGGGTCCTTCCTCTTTTTTCTTGACTGAAGCTCATCATTCCACAGTTCTGCAAGGGAATCAAAGCGTGAGCTGACTTCCGGGGCCCAGGAGGAAGGGCAATACAGAATTCATGTTTAGGGCTTATTTACATACAGATCTCCAGGGAAGCTTCACACCGACGTAGTGTGCTTTCTCTTTTTTTATATTTATTTTTTGTTTTCATAGTCTTACGTCTATTTATTTGTTCATTGTGTGTGTTGTGTGCACAGTTGTACACCACAACATACACAAGGAGGTCAGACAGCAACTTCTGAGAGGTTTCTCTCCTTCCACCACACAGGGGCTGGGATCAAACTCAGACTGCCAGCCTTGGGGACAAGCACTGTTACCGCGGAGCCATCGGGCTAGGTCGCCCTGAGGTAGCTATGCTTTTATTCCAGTCTTCCAGACAAGAACATCCATTTAGAGAAACTAAGCAACTGTCCACGGACACGCAGCTCATGAGCAAGGCACCCACACTGATCTCTTATCACATCTGCCCCAACTGTAGCAAGGAAACAAAATCAAAACACAAAAACAATAACACATACTCAAGGACTGTGGGCCAATCTAGTAAAACTTGTCAGTGCACAGCAGAAAACGTCCCTATAGTCATCCTGAAATGGCCACACTTCATACTGACCTGGTCTAATCATCACAGTAGTGTTCCCTTTCTCCAAGGCAAAAACCTACCGCCTGTAACATTCACCCATTGCCTGGAAGAACACAGGAGGCTGTCTCCCAGTACAGCCCCACGGGTAGCTCCTGTCACACTGCTCGTCTGTCCCTTTTACATTTTTCTAGAGTGTGACTCTGAATCCAAGGAACAACCTCAACTTGGTCTCATTCGTCAGAAGTCTCCTTCCTGTTCCCTCCAGCTCGGACACTGCACTTGCACAGCATCCATTCGAGAGGACTGTGGCTTTGGGGGACACCACCTCACACGGCAGCCCTGACCTGAGGTGATGTCGATGCTGTGCCGGTCCTCCTCGAGCCTTCTGATCTTCTCCTCGAGCTCACTCTGGACTGTATCATACAACAAAAGCTTTTCACTCTGGAAAGAGACATGATACGTATGTGAAAAGAAATACCAGTTTACCTTCACTAGCAATACCAAATGACTTACAGTACTTTAATATGTGCTAGCCGTGGTTTGTTTTGGGGTTTTTTTTGTTGTTTTGTTTTTTTGTTTTGTTTTTTGTTTTTTGGTTTGGTTTGTTGTATTTGCTTTTTTCATTTATCCAAACTATTTTTGCCATGCCCCTCCCCCATCCTGAGGAACGAAGCAAGAGTGTATGTGTGCTAGGTAAGTGCTTCTCTCTGAGCTACATCTTAGTCCCCAAATTTAAAATTTTGAAGAAGAAATGTTCAGTATACAGAAGAAATAAAACCAGGGTCAGTTATAATAACAGATTTAACTACTAAGTAAAATAACACCCTGTTTAAGAATACCTAAATTGAAGCCAGAGAGGTGGCTCAGGGCACCTGTTCTCTTGCAGGACTCAGGCTCAGTGCCCAGCACCTATGTGGCGGGAACGCAAAACCATCTGTAACTCCAGCTCTCGGAGATGGGATGCCCTCTTTTGGCTTCCATAGACATACACATGCAAACACACACCCCCCCACACACACACATGCATACACACATACACACAAAAAAATACTGGTTTTTTAAATACCATATTAAATTAAATACATCATATTAAATACAGCATATTTAATACAGCAGTATATCACAAAAAATATTTAGGCACAAATTTTATTTTATTTTTTTAAAGAAACTCTATTTATTTATTTACTGTATATGAGTACACTGTAGCTGTCTTCAGACACACCAGAAGAGAGCTTCAGATCCCATTACAGATGGTTGTGAGCCATCATGTGGTTGCTGGGAATTGAACTCAGGACCTCTGGAAGAGTAGTCAGTGTTCTTAACCACTGAGCCATCTCTCCAGCCCTAGGCACAAATTTTAGATCGATTTAAAGTAACTCAATAAATATATTTCAGCTAGAATATACTAAAGTAATAGATTGACTTAGAAAAAAGTGGTATATTAACTCAATTATAAAATTATAGGCTAACTACATCAGACTCACTCGCTAAAACAGACAAGACGGGGTGAGGGTAAAGCCTCAGGGGAGAGACTTACTTACCTAGCATGTTAAAGGCTCTTGTTCAGTCCTTAGCACCACAAAAATATAAAGCCATGAATAAAATAGACAGCGAGTAAATAAACAGGTAGACAGACAGACAAACAAGCCAATGTGGGATACATACAGGACAATCTCCGGGTATATGCAGATTAAATTTGAAATCTGTAGCAGAAGACTTCACAATCAACACATGGACCTGCTACCTACACGAATGTGGCCTTCCCCAACTTCCCCACAGGATGTCTTGTCTATTCCAGTAGATGTTGTAAGACACTCCTATCTATAGTGTCCCAGCATTTACATGTAAGCCATCTTGTAGTGGGGGGGCTTGAGACTCTGTTAGAGGCTTGTCCCCTCAGTAACTTCATATTAGTGATTAAACTAGGGCCTTGTACACACTGGGCAGGTGCCTACCACTGACCTACACCTGCCATCTTTTACTTTCAGTTTGTGACAGAATCTTACTAAGTTGTTCATGCTGACCCTGAGTTCAGTCTGGAGTCTAGGTAGCCCATGAACTTGGGATCATACTGCCTCAACCATCCACAAAACTGGAATTACATACCTTCTCTATCATGCCTAGCCTTGTAGGTTCTTATAAAAGGTCTTCTGTGTTATATTTATATACATTTTATGGCTCTTTATAAAAAAAAAGCTACAGTGGTATGTAATCAAAAACAATGAACTAAACCTTGTAGCCCTGGATTTTAATCTGATCTAGTAAGACAGTAATTTTTGTTTTATTTATTTTACTATTATTATTTACAATTGCACATTGATTTTTATGTATATGAGTGTCCTGACTGCATGTCTGGTACCTGAGGAGGGAAGAAGAGGGTGATAGCTTCCTTGGAAGGGAGTTACAAATGGTTGTGAGCTGCAGCATGGGGGCTGGGAGTCGAACTTGGGTACTCTGAAAGAACAGTCAATGCTCTGATTGATGAGCCACCTCTCTAGACCCCATTGGTTGTATCTGTCTGTCTGTCTACCTGTTTATTTACTCGCTGTCTATTTTATTCATGGCTTTATATTTTTGTGGTGCTAAGGACTGAACAAGAGCCTATAACATGCTAGGTAAGTAAGTCTCTCCCCTGAGGCTTTACCCTCACCCTGTCTTGTCTGTATGGTAGAGACAGGCGCTAAAATGACAGCAAAGTTTGTCTATGGGAGACTATGCTGAACTTGCCATATCTAATCTGAACTCAGAGGCTCAGCTGTAGTGAAAGCTATAGTGGAACAAATGTCATGTGAAAAATCATACCATGGGGCTGGAAAGATGGCTCAGTCGTTAGGAGCACCAACTGCTCTTTCACAGGTCCTGAGTTCAATTCCAGGCAACCGCATGGTGGCTCACAACCATCTGTAACAGAATCTCATGCCCTCTTCTAGTGTGTTTAAAGACAGTGACAGTGTACTCACATATATAAAATAAAGAAATAAATCTTTAAAAAAAAAAAAAGAAAGGAAGGAGGGGAGGGGGGGGGGAAGGAGGGAGGGAGGGAGGGAGGAAGGAAGGAAGGAAGGAAGGA